GATAATATATGAAATAATTATAAAAATATATATTTTTAATAGTATAAATATATTATCTATTTTTAAAAATTAAATTATTTTTTTTTGAAATAATATTATTTTTAAATTATATATTTAATTTTAAATAATTTATATTTAGGGTTAATTATATGTTTAATATCCAACTATTATTTTAGTTATGTATAATGCTATTTAAATTTAAATAGATAATTTAAAAGTAATATTATTTCAAATAAATAAATAATATAATTTTAAACTAATTTTTTAAATATTTTCAGAATATTATAAATAAATATTTTATAATAATTTAATATAAATTTTATAAAAACATAAAAATAATTATTTAATTATTTTTTATTTTAAAATAAAGGGAACTTTTTTTCTTTAGTTTAATATTTATACAAGTAAATATTATGTTTGATATAATAAAAATAGATTCACATTATACTTAAATGACTAAACTTTTTACCATTAATTTAAAGTGTCACATATTCAGATTTTATAATTATCAAAAAATATTGATTTTATGGTGATATTATTATATAATTTAAATAAAAAATATGATAAAATTAATATAAATGAATAGCTTAATTCAATGGTTGACTACCTTGCATTTTTTTTGTAAGAGGCCTTGGTTCAATTCATGCTAAGAGCAAGAATAATTTCTTTTATTTTATCCTCATAATTGGTAAAATGTGTGTTAAATAATGAAAAAAATTGGCATGTCATACCAAATCATATTATCGTTAATGATTTTGAAAAAAAAAGTTTAGATACTAAAACGAAATAAAAATGATAGTCTAAGTACTAAACATATAATTTATCCTTTTAATATTTACTTAAAAAGGACAATTTAAGTACGTTTCAATCAGGGGCGGAACTAGGAATTTATTATAACGAGGGCTAAAATAATTTTTATTTTATATAAATACAATTTTTTAATTGAGGGGCTTGATAAATTTGTCTTTATTTATTTTATTAAAAATTATTATTTTATATTAATTAATAATTATAAATATAATTGGCAGGGACAAAGATCCCCTTACCCTCCCCTTGGTTTCGCCCATGATTTCAGCACATCGTTTTAGTGGTATATTGATGTGTGCGACGTATGTAAGAGTAAAAAAAAGGTAAAAAGAAGATAGGCTTACTACTTTACATATAGAATGTAATAATGTTGATTAGGTAAGATTCAAATGTTTTTTAAAGCAACTTCAATGCAATTTGTTCTCTGAACCAATCCTTCTTTCCATTGTTTATGTGAAAGACAAAGGATTGTTTTATCTATTAATATTATTGGTTAAATGTGATCTGTATGGATCAAGAAAAAATGTTCGAGTTGTCAAGTCGAAGATTTTCTGACAATTAAATCCTCTAATTAGGGGTATTCTGTTAAAGTAATAGGCTAGGTCAAGAGACCTAACTTTATGAATAGGATTACATTCAGATCATGACACTAGTCTCTATGTGTCGAGGCGAATCTCCCAACAAATCAAAGTGAATATAAAAATATTGAACTTAACGAAGTATAATTTAAACAAAGGCATTAAGGACTAAAATAAATTTGAATTGAGAAGTGTTTCAATAAAAGATGGACTCAAGGAGTTGAGAAACATTTTTTATAGTCAATTTCACAAACACTCAGGAATTTTGTTTTTAGACCAATATTTCCGCACTACCTATGCTGAAGGAGTCCATGAAGCTTGAAAAAATTGAAGATTTCAGAGAACTGGAATAGAAGTGTTCTAAAAGGTCTAGCAATTGAATATGCTAGTTGCAACATTTTTATCCATATCTGATTAAATGCTAAGCTAGACATGAGGCACCTGTACAACGTTCCCAATGACAGAGAAAATAAGGACTCGATGACTGAAGCCTTAGAAAAATATAAAGCCAGCCAAACCAACCCATAAATCCAGACACTTGTCAAAGGATATAACTTTGAAAATTTAAAGAGCATATGATTCTTTTGATACCCAGTGAACTCATGTTTTGTGATTTGTTTCAATTGTGAGCTTGAATTAAAGGGCACCATTTTGTTTTATAAAATTCTTCTAAATCAGAAGAAAAAGATGTCGAATGTTGAGCTCACAAACTCAGTGCCACACTAATAACCAAACTATACTATATGCGTCCATTATATGATCATGCTCGCTAACATAAATATTTGTATACAAAAATGAAAATCTAAACATGCATACAAGGGTGGGCATTATAGTGTGGTCGGAGGGTTTCGTTACATCACATAGACACACACCCCACTACCCTACCTAGGGTGACATCCATAATTTCTATATCGGAAAGTTCACCCAACCAACCTACTTCATACGAGTACTTGTGGCATCTACGACTGGTCGGTAATGAAGTGCCTTGTGCACTAATTAAGAGTTGTCCAGACATTCTACCACGTAAGCGTTTACCTAGCTACTAGAGTAGCTCAGGTGTCATGATTGTTTCTCGACCACCACACAAGGTAGGTTTTATGATTCCCTAATTTATATCGTTTCTAGAAGTAATTATAGTCATTAGTGTTGTTCTCACTTGGAGTCTTATTTATGAAGTTTGGATGGACTTTGATCTCCTAATCCAACTTATTTGATATGTGATAAGTTTCATACCCAAGTTAGGATGAAGGTATTGATATTGACCCTAAAGTATGAATATTAGTCTCTTAGGTATTGATACTATCTTCTGGGTATCGATATCGAAAATAGCTTTGATGTTTGAAAAATTAGCTAAGTGTTGATACCCTTAATTAAGGTATCGATACCCTCACCCCAGTATCGATGATCCCTTAAGTTTCAATACCAAAATGGGCTACTGGAATCCTAAATTCTAAAATGGTACGAAACTACCTTAAGTATCGGTACTCTTGGGATAATATCGATACTCTTAGAATGAGTATCGATACTCGCAGCTATAACACTCCATTATTTTGATTAATTTATGTTCCTAATAATTAAGAAAGACTATCGATCTTTAAATTCGTTGTTGACCAATTCAAACTCAAGATTTATTAGATATTATTTTTTATCTATATATAATTAAAATCAGCGTATAAATAGCAAGAAACTTTATATGATGATCACAAAACATATTTAACACACCACGTGTAACCTAAAAGGCGTTACCGTTCCATTGATGCTAGTTCTTTCCCTCCTGCATTTTCCAATGTTCAATGGTTGGTTCATAAACTATTACATCCATGTCACAAACGATATACCTTTATTTCATTCGCCACTGGACAAGTCGAATTTATATTTTCAATGCAAGCTGGTAATAAGGATATTGGTGATAGACCTATGCTCAAGGGGCAGGACTACACCTGGAATACCAAGATAAATTTTGTTCGGTCAACCCCTTTATATTGCAACGCACGATGGGTGGATCACAAGAGGATAACCTTCGACATTTTCAAGGCCAAAAGAGACAGATCTCGATGCAAAAAGTACCATAATTCTTTCTTGTGTTCGGTGAGGACCGATGGAATTTGACAAATGTCATAATTGTCAAATAAATAAGACATTTTCTTATATAAATAAGCTATAAATGTAAAGTAGGAAAGAAGGGGTCGATCGGATTAAAAAATTTCTAATTTTGAATTGATTAAATTGTGATCAGGAAGAAATTAAAATAATAAAAATAGAAAAGGGGTTTAGAACAAATAAATAAATTGAATAAAATTAAAGTAATGAAATCAAAAAAAAATAAATTGTAGAAATATTAATTATGATGAGAGATAGCATTTAGTTTTACTTTGTCTCAATTCTTATTGATAAGAGAAATAGATTTTACTTCAGATATTTGTTGGTTACAGTCTACAAGGCCTAACCCTTGTAACTTACTCTTCTATTTGATGAATTAATTTCCAGATCCAATCATTGGAAATTAATCTTTATTTGGATTAGCAACAACTATCGATGTTAATGCCAATTCTTTCTTTAGTACTGGAAAAGCTCATGTTCGGTTTATGGTATCTCAATGAGAATCGAACCCAATCTTTATTTTCCTTAGCGGATTGTCGCTAAGTTATTTTGAGTGAGTTTTATGAAAAACCAATTCGAAAAGAAAAAATAAGAGTTAAATGCGAATGTTTTAGTACCAATTTTTCATGGATAATAATAGGAGACATGTAACGGTCGAATGAGTTGGTTACTGTTAATAGGGACAAAAATTAATACATAAATTAAAGTGAAGTTTTTTTTAAGCTTTTAATGACAAAAGAGTTACACAAACTAAAGTTCACAAGAAAGAAATGACCTCTTTTTTTAAAACAAAAAGAAATAAAATGATTACATCATCAAGACCTTAACAATTTAACAACTCAATACTTATATCAAAGCCAAAACCAAAATTCAATATTAGAATTAAAATATTTTTAAATTTTAAAAGTAAAATATTTATAAAAATTCTAAAATTCAGTTACAGTTAACCCTAAAAGATTATATATATATATATAATAGTATTCCATGCTTTTATGCATATAATAAAGGTAAAGAACATAGGCATACTACTATTATATATAAAATGTGATACCATATCTACATTATCAACTATTTGCCTAATCATCAATTTCATTGTCTTAATACCATGTTTCCTACTTTTATTTGCACTGCAAACTAGAGATTGAGATATATTTAAAATATATATTTTTTGTTCATTTCATTAGTAAAATAGATGATGTTATCGATTAATCTTTTTATAATAATAAAATAATCTGATTATTTGTATTGTAAGGATTATATTTTTTTAAGAATTTAAGCCATCTTAATGCACTTTCTCCTCGAATTGATCTTCTTGAGTCATGAAAAAAAATGTGATTGTTTTTTATTAGTATTTTTAGCAAATTTTGATCCGAAAAAATCTATCAATTCTTTATTATTTTTTAACTAATTTAAACCAAAATTTTATTAGATATCATTTTTATCTAAAAATAACCATATAAGATTCAAAATCAAAATATAAATACTAGCAAACCTTATATGATGATCACAAAACATATGACAAGCAGCATGGGCAATCTCAAAAGTATTACTCTCCCATTGCTGCTAGCATTCTCCCTCCTCCTTCCATTTGCAGAGAGTGATTGGTTCATGAACTATCATATTCACATCACAAACGATTTACCTTTACGTAATTCACCACCCAACCAGCCGAATTTGTTTCTACATTGTAAGTCCAAGAAGAGGGACATCGGCGACAGACCGATGATGAAGGGGCAAGATTACACGTGGGACACCAAGGTTAATTTTTTCCGAACGACGCTTTTCTTCTGCAACGCACGATGGGTGGGTCACAAGAGAATATCTTTCGACGCTTTTGAGGCCAAAAGAGACGAAAAAAAGTGCTTGGAGTACCATAACTCTTGCATGTGGTCGGTGAGGGCAGATGGGATTTATTTCAGTAAAGATGATGCCACTTGGTTTAATGCATACCGTTGGTAAAAGTTAATCTATAAATTTATATTCTCATCAGAGAATATATTAACAATCAGTTGCATTTATTTGTTTATTGTTTAATTATTTATTAATTAAAGAAATTATAACTTCATCAACTATGAAATTTTGAATTTCATATTAATATTTATATAATTAAATATATTAATTTTGGATTAATTCAAAATTAAAAATAGGTAGTTTACTCGAGCTAAATCTATTAAGTTTAGTTGATTATCCATTAAACTTCATCAATTATCCAATTTTAAAATGAAATTATTTTTCTAAATAATTTTTTTGGAGGACGAATTCGATTATGGTAAAATATAGATTTTTAATATAGTATCTAAGATCATAATTTTGTCATCATGAAGCAAATTCAACTATGGTGGTAGTTAATTTTTTTTTATGTATTATGGGGAATTCAATTATGGATGCAAGTTTAGATAATGATGATTTAATCATAGGTTTAAGTCACATTTGAGGTCTAAATTACAAGGTATTTTTAAGAAAAATGTATGAAATTTAATTTCAGTCAAAGTCGATTTTTTTTAAATATACTCCAAAACTATTTTGAGAAATAATGTTATTTTAAAGTTATTTGAAAAATTAATCTTCTACCAATATTATTTTCTTTAATAAAACTTACTTTGCTATAAAAAAAAGAAACTTGATTTCAATCACAAACCATAGCTGACCTCAAAACTTGATCCCTTAAGTTGAATGGGTTTTGTTTATGCAAGAACAATGCTATATGGTGTTATGAATATCCAAGATGGATATCTTGGGAAGAATGGATTTTCTTTAATTTTAAGATTTTAGAGCTATATTTTAAACGTATTATTAAAAAATTTGATGATGATATTTATAATTTTTAATGAAATTTGTTATTTTCTTATATTATATTTAAATTTATTTTGAGTGTGATTAACATGTCTAATATTTATGTTGGTTAATTGATCCCATCTTCATTCATACATCACACAATTGGACCGCTTGCATAGCAAGAGTTACAAAATAACTTATATATTCAAATTTGTTTAAACAATCTTATACTCAATCCTTACTATTGTTAATAGGAAAAACGATAATTGTTTTTCTATTAATATTATTGATTAATTTATGTCCCTAAGATTCAAGAAAGACTATCAACTATGGTAAAATTCAATTTTTTATATAATAGCTAAGATCATAATTTTGTCATCATGAAGCAAATTCAACGATGATGGTAGTTAATTTGTTTATGCATTATGAGGAATCGAGTATAGATGCAAGTTTAGACAATGATGATTCAATCAGAGGTTTAAGTCATCTTTGAGGTCTAAAGTACGAGGCAATTTTTTAAAAAAATGTAGGAAATTTAATTTTAGTCAATATTAAATTTTTATAAAAAAAATACTCCAAAACTATTTTGAAAAATAACATTATTTCAAAATTATTTAGAGAATTAATCTTTCTCAATATACTTAAATTTTATCTTATAGGAAGACCATCAAAGGAGACCACAGTATTAGAATATAAAATTTTTAGATAAATTTTCATCGAATTTGAGTGTATTTAATGAAAAATCAATTCAGAAAGAAAAATGAAATGTGGATTTTTTTTTAGTTTCAATCTTGTTGCGAATGACGATCGATGAAAGACAATAATTGTTTGAAAACGACGACTATAGAAGTAGATTATGGCTTATAGGGACCAAAACAATACAAAAACTAAAATTTAGTGCCGAAATATAAAGTATTTTAAAGTTTACCGACAAAAATTGATATACAACCTAAAGTACACATGATAGAAAATGATCACGTTGGTATGCCATTAATGATTTTACGGGTTTGTACTTGCAATGAAGTCAAAAATTAAATCAATACTAGAATTGAAACATTTTAAAATTTAATGATTAAATCGATACATGACTGAAATTTATTGGCATTTGGAGTAGTTGACCCCAATAAAATTCCTTAAACCTAATAAACACAGTCTAAGATTGTCTAAGCCCAGCCCAAATAATAGAGAAGCGCGATAATTAATTATTTTTGGGATAAGCACCTGCCCCTTGATTTGAGTTTTGCAGAAGCTTGCTTCCTGTATTTTGAAGAAGCTTCAAGCTTGCTGCTTTACTTCATGACTTTCTTTTGAATGAATCCTTTTAGTCTGACGTGAAACTTGTAAATCTTCAATGGGATTTCTCTCACTCATCGTCTTCCTAATTTTCACTTCAATGGCGAATTCAGATAATCTCCAACAAAGCATCATTCTTGAATGCCTTTCGAATCATTCAATAGCTTCCCCTTCAATCGCTTCGGTTACTTACTTCCCTACCCATCCTTCCTACACATCCACTCTACAATCATACATACGAAACCTCAGATTCATCTCTCCCACTACCCCTCAGCCTCTCTTCATCGTGGCGGCCTCCCATGTTTCTCACATCCAAGCTTCCATCATTTGCTGCAAAACCCACGGATTTGAAATGAGAATCCGCAGCGGCGGACACGATTACGATGGACTTTCGTATGTCTCAGAATCCCCATTCATGATCCTCGACTTGTTCAATCTTCGATCCGTAAGTGTCAATTTAGAGGATGGGAATGGAACTGCTTGGGTTGATTCAGGTGTCACTTTGGGTGAACTCTTCTATGCAATCGGTCAAAAAAGCAAGACCCATGGTTTCCCCGCCGGTGTTTGTCCGACAGTAGGTGTTGGTGGTCATTTTAGCGGCGGCGGATATGGTAACATGATGAGGAAACATGGGTTGTCTGTCGATAATGTTGTCGATGCGAAACTGGTTGATGTCGGTGGCAATGTTTTGGATCGAGAATCAATGGGGGAGGATCTGTTTTGGGCGATCAGAGGAGGTGGTGGAGCTAGCTTTGGAGTTATACTTTCATGGAAAATCAAGTTAGTTTCTGTCCCTGAAATTGTTACTGTTTTTAGAATTGAGAAGACATTAGAGCAAGGTGCAACTGATATGGTTCATCAATGGCAATATATAGCTGATAAGATAGATGAAAATTTGTTCATTAGAGTTGTTCTGTTACCGGTGAATAAAAAGCATTTGCAGTCCATTAAAGCTAAGTTCATTGGATTGTTTCTTGGTAATGCTAAAGAACTGATTTCAGTCATGAATGAACATTTCCCAGAATTGGGTTTATTGACTGAGAATTGTATTGAAACGAGTTGGATCGAGTCGATACTGTTTTGGTCTAATTATCCCATTGGAACATCCATGGAAGTGTTGCTTGAGAGACAACCTCAACAAGAAAAGTACTTGAAGAAGAAATCGGATTACGTGCAGGAACCGATTTCGAAAGAGAATCTCCAAGGGATTTGGAAGAAAATGATTGAACTCAAAAGACCTGCATTGACATTGAATCCTTATGGTGGGAAAATGAGTGACATTCAGGAGTCCGATACCCCGTTTCCTCATAGAGCAGGGAACATATATAAAATCCAATACTCGGTCACCTGGAAAGACGAAGGCGACGAGGCATTGAACCGGAGTTTAGATCAGATACGAAAGCTTTACGAGTATATGACACCTTATGTGTCTAAGTCTCCCAGGAGTTCATATCTGAACTACAGAGATGTGGACATAGGGATCAATGAAAATGGCAATGCAAGCTACTCGGAGGCTGTTATATGGGGAAGAAAGTATTTCAAAGGCAATTTTGATAGATTGGTACAAGTGAAAAGTAAAGTTGATCCAGGTAACTTCTTTAGATATGAACAAAGCATTCCATGCCTTGGATCCTGGAAGAGTGCCCTTTCAGAATAGAAATCTGTTTTTATTTGGATAGCAGCTGCTTCAGCATATACACATAAACCTTGACTCTTGATTATTTGTAACTTAAATTGTAAAACTATATGTTGACTTGTTTTCTTGTTTTTGTTATATCTTTTTCGCTAATAAGGGTTGGATTCGTCATTATAACAACAAAAATATAATTATTAGATTAATCTATATATAAAATTGAGAAAAAAACTTAGTATAAGTTCAAGCCTAAAAAACCATGCCACTCCATCAGATACTAATATATCTATCATAGTTACTCACTCCAGTTCATCCTATGAACCTGTTTTACAACACTACATTCGTAACGCTCGTTTCAACACTACTTCCACACCCAAGCCCCTCCTTATCGTCACGCCTCTGACTGAATACCTCGTCTCGGTAGCCGTCTTATGCTCCAAGAACATCGGGTTTCAGCTCAGAATCCGAAGCGGCGGCCATGACTTCGAGGGTATCTCTTATGTATCCGAACAACCCTTTTTTGTCCTCGACATGAAGGATCGGTCGGCTTGGATTCAGGCCGGTGCGACCCTCGGGGAACTTTATTATAACATATGGGAGAAGAGCAAAGTCCATGGTATTCCTGCTGGGGTTTGTCCTACTGTTGGTGTTGGTGGTCTTATAAGTGGAGCTGGGTATGGTAACATGGTGAGAAAACATGGTTATCGGTGGAGTAAGTGTGGATGCTAAGATAGTTGATGTTGGCTGTAAGATTCTCGATAGAAAATCCATGGGGTAGGATCTTTTCTGGGCCACCAGAGGCGGTGGCGGAGCTAGTTTCGAGGTGGTTTTAGCTTTCAAAATCCAGCTCATTGATGTACCCTGAACGGTGACGGTGTTTAGAGTTGAAAGGACCTTGGAACAGAACGCAACTGACGCTGTTTATAAGTGGCAAACCATTGCTCCAACAACAGATGATGGTTTGTTCATGAGGAAGCTTGTGCAACCGGTTACATTAAACAAGCAAAAGACCATAAGAATCTCGATCTATGCACTGTGTTTAGGTTAGGGCTGCTAATGATGTTGTTTCTTTGTTGGCCAAGGATTTCCCTGAATTGGGTCTAGGAAAACAGGATTGCTTCGAGATGAGTTGGATCGAATCAACTCTATGGTGGGCTAGTTTCGACAAGGGAGCTTCGCCCGATGTGTTGCTAAAGAGAGTCTTACCATGTAAAGTTCATGAAGAGGAAGTCAGATTATGTCAAGACCCCGATACCAAAACAAGGGCTGCAATGGCTTTGGGAGAAGACGATTGAACTGGGAGTGCAAGGGTTGGTTTTCAATCCATATGGAGGGAGAATGAAGGAGATCAACGCCACGGAAACACCGTTCCTGGATCGATCCGGGAATCTGTTCAAGATACAGTTTTCGATAAACTGGAAAGAGGCAGGCTGGAGGCTGACGAAAGGAGCAAAGACTTGGTGAAGAAACTTCATGGTTAATTGACTGGCTTTGTGTCAAGGAATCCAAGAAATGCTTATTTGAACTATAGGGATCTTGACATTGGGATTAGTAGGAATGGTAGTTACCAAGAAGGTAAAGTTTATGGGGAGAGTTATTTTGATGTGAATTTTGAGAGATTGGTGGACGTGAAGACTGCCGTAGATCCCCATAATTTCTTTAGGAATGAACAGAGCATTGCACCTCGTACAAGCAATGAACCATTGCCCCTAGTACAAGCAAGTCATGGAACTAAACAAAACCTTTTACTATTATGATTATATTGTTTATAGCCATAGCTCATATAATATATTTATTTTTCTAAATGCACATTCTAATAATAGAGGGATTAATGTAATATGAGCCTTAGGTGGCGTTTGTTTTTCTAAAAAAAGTCTTTAAAGCTCTTATGTCTGCTCTGCGCAGACCACGCGCAGACATTAGACTTCGCAGACCGTTTGTTTTTTAGAAGACAGTAACTCTGAAAATGTCTGCGCGTCCTCTTCTTGGCGCAGACGTGGCCTTGTGTCTTCAAAACTCTTCCAACCTCTTCAAAGACATTGCTGATGATGAAGACAAGCCTGAAGGACATGGTTCTGTAGCGGATCGAGAATATATGACACAGCTACGAGATGAAATTGTTGTGCAATTAATGCAAAATATGGATTGATTTATTTTAAAAATTTATTATTGTAGTTGTATGAATTATTTAAATTTTAGTATTGTAAAACTAAAATTATTTAAATTTCAGTATTACAAAACTCTTTTAAATTTAAAAAATCAGTTTATTTATATTTCAGTTTATTTTAGCAGTCTGCAGATGTTAAAAAACAAACAATCTTCTTCTTGCAAACTGCAGACCGCAGACTTTTTATCAACCTCTTCTGCTGTAGATGCCTGCAGATGTGGTCCGTAGATTGCAGACCTTTTACCTCTGAAAACAAACAGCACCTTAGTGAACTCTAATCCTTATTTAACTCAATAATTGTGGTCTTGGATGGTAGAAAAAGGAAATCTATAATAACCAAAATATCATTGGTGGTAACTAAGCTAATAGTCTCTTCCATTGAATTAAAATAGAAAAAAAATCATAGATGACAAATGACTTAAATCTTGATTAACTTAACTTGCAAAAGGCAAAGCACAATGACACTTTCCAAGTTGGTCAATGGATCGATCTTGTGTTGTGTTGTGTTGTTGAGTTATTTATTTACGTGGGCAGCCTCGGATCCTGCCCATCAATCCCTTCTTAAATGCGTAAGCGGGTTCATAGAATCCCCAGATGTTTCCTCCATTATCATTCCCAACCCCAACCCCAACTATACATCCGTATTGAATGCACGGGTTCATAATGCTCGTTTCAACAGATCTTCCACGCTTAAACCAGCTATCATCATCGCTCCATTGCAGGAATCCCATGTTTCCGCCGCTGTAATTTGTTCCCAAAAGGTCGGTTTCCAGATTAAAACCCGCAGCGGCGGCCACGATTATGAGGGCTTATCTTACGCTTCTTCTGATAAACCCTTTTTCATGCTCGACGTGTATAATCTACATTCGGTATCTATCAACATGGAAGATGAATCCGCCTGGGTTCAAGCGACTCTCCGCGAACTTTATTGTAGCATATGGGAAAAGAGTAATGTTCATGGATTCCCTGCCGGGGTGTGTCCCACGGTTGGCGTCGGCGGCCACATTAGCGGTGGCAGTTATGGTATCATGATAAGGAAATACGGCGTGTCTACGGACAATGTTGTGGATGCCAAGATAGTTGATGTCAAGGGCAAAATACTAGACCGAAAAGGCACGGGAGAGGATCTTTTTTGGGCCATAAGAGGCGGAGGAGGAGGCAGCTTCGGTGTTATTTAGCCTATAAAATAAAGCTCGTCCGTGTACCAGAGACGGTCACCGTTTTCCGAGTCGAAAGAACATTAGAAGATAACGCCATCGAGGTTGCTTTCAAATGTCAAACCGTTGCCCCGACAACGGATAGCAATCTCTTCATGAGGATGCTCTTGAAAGCCTAGACGAAGAAGAAGAAAGCGACGATGCAAGCATCGATCTTGGGATTGTTTTTAGGCGGTGCCAATGGTCTTGTAACCTTGTTAAACAAAGATTTCCCGGAACACCAAGTGCACCACCAAAGACAACTGCACCGAGATGAGATGGATCGACTCGGTTCTTTGGTAGGCGGATTTCGATCTGGGAACACCACCAAGTGCGTTGCAAGATAGAAGCAATAAGGACACCAAATTCGCCAAAAGAAAATCAGATTACGTGCAGACACCGATTCCTAGAGAAGGGCTGGAATCTTTATGGAAAAAGCTGAGTGAAAATGGAAAAGTGGGATTGGCTTGCAATTCATACGGTGGGAAAATGAACGAAATCAAAGAAACGGAGACTGCATTCCCTCATTGCGCAGGCAACTTGTACAAGATACAGTATTCGGTAAACTGGGATGAACCCGGAATGGAAGCGGATACGAATTACACGAACCAGGTGAGAGTGGTTCACGAGTTCATGAATCAGTTCGTGTCCAAGAACCCGAGGAGGGCTTACTTGAATTACAGGGACATCGATATGGGTACCGCTAAAACTTGGAGCTATGAAGAGGGCAAAGCGTATGGGTTGAGCTATTTCCATGCAAACTATGAGAGGTTGGTCGACGTGAAGACCAAAAGTTGATCCCAATAACATCTTTAGGAATGAAAAAAGCATTCGTCCTCTCTCACCTAACACCAATTAGGACTAGTTTAGCGTCCTCATAACCAATTAGGATTAAACCACCGAAAAGGAAAGTTATGTATGTATGTATGTATAACTGATGCAAAAATATGGTATAGTTATGTAATTCATACGGATTTTATGTATATGGTAATTTGTAAGTTTTGTTAAGAATCATAAAGATGATTCTATGCACACATTTGTCTTTTATTTAGATAATTAGATCATCCATCTGTCATTTTTTAATATGTAGATGGATTAAAAGTTGGTTTTTTATATTTATAAATTACAATTTAATATCATGTTTTTAAAGAATAAAATCATTTTATTGAATGAACTTAAAGAGGGTTATAAGTTTATCCATTACCTAACTCGACTCAAACTTAACCAATTCACATAGACTTTTCCGCTTTTTTGTTTTATTTTTCCGTTCATCTATCTACCTATAAGACTTCTATTTTTTCCCATATTTCAATCAACGCATCTATCTAACTCTCACTTAATTTGCAGCGTTTTTAGTATTCTGTCTTAACAATCACAAAGAAATGTATTACAAGATATTGTGAAATTATCAATTATATTGTAAGTTAATTAAAGAGCATAAATCATAGAGTAATTATATTAGGTTTGTAATGATTTATGCTCAATTCTTAAAAGTATTCAACCCAACCATAGAATAATCATTTGATTATCAAATATTCGAGATATAAAATAGAATATTTTTTAAGAATAAAAGATTTATGCACTCTCTGAATCTCATACTTTCATAATATAACAGGTTAGTCTCTCTCTTTTCACAGACAAATTATAAATCGTCAGTTTTATCCTTTTTTTTCTCACCATTCAACCATTACAAATTATCATCATACGTATTGTACATTTACACCAACTACAGAAAATTAGATAAATATAATTATAATTATTTTGAGAAAACGACAATAAGTAACATATTTTTCAAAAAAATGTGATCTTCTAGAAAGGAAATATAATAAGCGTAAAAGCAATCATTGATGAAACAAGGCCTAAATTTAGAAAAATCTGAAAGCACTTGCATGCGAAAAGTAAACGGTCAAATATTACTTATATGCACCTTTTATACAAAAGGCTGACTTTATTTGTCAAACAAAGTTAAAAAAAATAAATAATATACGTTAGATCAAGTAATAAAAAATTTAATATTTTAAATAGAATATTAGCTTAGATTTTATTAAAAGAATTTATCGTTTAAAATAACATTTAAATTGATTCTATCTTAAATTTATTTAAAAAAAATATATAATTATTGAACACTGAAAAATTTAGATAATATATGTATATATGAAAATTGTTTATATTAAAATTTTCTATATGTTATGATATAACATCACGTTTTCTTTTGTTGTTTGAATATTCTTGGTACGTATGTTGCGTTAAGACTTGTTGATTGCTAAGACCGCGTATGTTTGGGTACTTTTCCACAGCTTTGAAGGGCCTTATAAATTGTTGTCACCTACATGCATTGTTACCCGTACCAAAACGCAAAAACAAAGCACAAAAATGCATAGTTCAATGCGGCTTTCACTTTCCCTTGCGCTGTTTCTTGTTCTGTTCAACTTTTCCCTTTCATATGCAGCCTCGGATCCTACTTATCAATCGCTTCTCCAATGCTTAAGTCAATCGATCCCATCCCAAAATGCTTCTGCCATTCTCTTCTCCAGCAACAACCCTTCCTATGCCTCCGTATTGCAAGCGTACATCCGTAATGCTCGTTTCAATACCTCCGAAACGCCTAAGCCGGCTATCATCATCACTCCGACGGAGGAATCCCATGTCTCCGCCGCCGTGACCTGTTCCCAGAAGGTTGGTTTCCAACTCAAAGTCCGTAGCGGAGGCCACGATTACGAAGGGCTATCATACGTTTTCGGTAAACCCTTTTTCATCCTCGACATGTTTAACCTACGTTCGATATCGATCGATATATCGAACGAGTCCGCCTGGGTTCAATCCGGTGCAACACTCGGTGAACTTTACTATAACATTTGGGAAAGCAGCAATGTCCATGGATTCCCTGCTGGGGTATGTCCCACCGTCGGCGTAGGTGGACACCTTAGCGGGGCTGGTTATGGTACCTTGATGAGGAAATACGGTGTATCATCGGACCATATCATGGATGCCAGAATAGTCGACGTAAACGGAAAAATTCTAGACCGGAATGGCATGGGGGAGGATCTCTTTTGGGCTATAAGAGGTGGTGGAGCAGCCAGTTTCGGTGTTGTTTTAGCCTACAAGGTTAAGCTCGTTCGTGTACCGGAAACAGTGACTGTTTTCAGAGTCGATAGACTATTAGCAGATGACGCCAATGCCACTGATGTAGCTTACAACTGGCAATCCGTTGCTGCAACAACAGACAATAATCTGTTCATGAGGATGCTTCTGCAACCCGCGACGAGAAACAGGCGAAGGACGGTGAGAGTATCAATCCGGGGACTGTATTTGGGCGATGCCAATGGTGTTGCAACCTTATTGAACAACGATTTCCCTGAGTTGGGTTTAACCAGAGAGAATTGTACTGAAATGAGATGGATAGACTCAGTTCTTTGGTGGACAAACATCGATGTGGGAACACCAGCTGCGGTGTTGCTTGACCGAAACATCAATGACGCTGATTTCTTGAAGAGGAAATCCGATTATGTGCAGACACCAATTCCCAGAGATGGGTTGGAATCACTGTGGCAAAAGATGACACAACTTGGAAACGTGGGGTTGGCTTGCAATGCATATGGAGGGAGAATGGACGAACTCAGTGCTACCGAGACACCGTTCTCACACCGAGCCGGAAACTTATATAAGATACAATACTCGGTGAACTGGGACGAAGCCGGAAACGAAGCTGACATGAATTACACAAGTCAAGCGAGAGAGCTACACGAGTTCATGACTCAGTTCGTGTCGAAGAATCCGAGGAGGGCATATTTTAATTACAGGGACATCGACATCGGCACCACTGAGAACTGGAGTTACGAACAAGGGAAAGTGTATGGGGAGAGTTATTTTACTGGAAATTATGAGAGGCTGGTCGATGTGAAGACTGCCGTGGATCCTAAGAATTTCTTTAGGAATGAACAGAGCATTCCTCCCCGGACATGAAGACAATGATTATTAGATTGTTGTAATTGTAATACGCAGATGATAATTTCGTTTATTAAAGACAATGATTATTAGATTGTTGTAATTGTAATACGCAGATGATAATTTCGTTTATTAATAATGTACTTTCATCTTCTTAAACAAATATCTTCCGTGTAGTGAACCAAATTTTGTGGTTGTGCATGCAGGGGCGGTTAGCCAAGCAAAGCATGGTCCTTGGTTTACGTGGCTTTCAGCAGCTCGAGGGTTTAAATGCATTAAAATAGAATTAATTACTTGCCCCACTCCTCTTATAGCTACAGCCTACAGGCGACATTTTTGACTTATTTTTATTCAACTTAAGGGATTGTGGATTATTGCATTGTTGCTTGGACTAGTTTTTCAGCTAGTGTTGGCGTTGCCATTAGTTTCCCACTTGTGCCCTGTCTTGATTTGGATGAAGAAAAAAGTATTTCTTCAAATTATATAAACGAATCTTAGTATCTAGGTTTAAAATTATGATTTTGATAATAAAAAAATTATATGCGACTATCCTTCATTTAGAATAACGAAATCTGAGTTGTCTAACAGAAATCATGACCTAGAAACGGTACAATAATAGTAGATTCAATAGCATAAATCACTTTACCATCGTTACTAAAAACTGAATTTCATGAATTCAAAATAAGAAATATCATCGGCTGTCGTTTGAGTGTAGCCGATTAGACAAAAGTGGCCCTTGCCCAGATGAAACAGATTAACGGGGCATGATTTGCAAAATTGGAATTTGGATAACAATAAGATGGGCAACCATTTGCCATTGACCAGATCGATGTATGACTAATACTAAAATAGGAGTAAAGAAATAGTTGAATGATAAATGATAATATTTACCCATAAGAAAATACACTGTCATTTAGTTTTTAATGGCGCATGAGTTTATAAAAATATTAAAAATTAAGTGCCGAAACGGATCAATCTAAATAATTTAAGTACTAAACACATAATTTATTCATTATTTTTTCAGTTTCAAAAGTAATGAAATCAAGTCTTGATCTTAATTTTTTTTTTGGTTTAATTATCTTTTTAAGATATTTCTATTCTAAAATTGGTGAAATTAAATTCGGATTCTTTAATTGTTACAATTTAATTATTTTTTAAGATCTCATATTATGTGTGATTGACAAGCTAAAAAAATAAGAGACCATTTAAAGAGATTACATATATAAAAGAATGCAAATGATAGGTCATTAAGATTGAACATGAAGCGTCTGAAACTCAATAAGCTTATTGTTAACAATAAATACCCAATCCCACTCTTTGCAAACTTGTTCGATGAGTTTGAAAACACAAGATGTTTTCCCAAGCTAGACTTTCTAGGTAATATGACTTGCATGAAAGATTTCAAAAGCTCACTTAAAACTAGGGATGGCAACTCAACCTGATGGGTTCCGACCCGACCCGACCCGATCGGGTTGGATTTTTTAAAAAAAAATTCGGGTTCGGGTCGGGTCGGTTTTTTTTAAATGCACTGTTCGGGTCGGGTCGGGTTTAGGGTAAAAAAATCAGACCCGACCCGACCCGAAAAATATATATAATTTTATCTTATATATTTAGGGATAATTACAATAATATCCCTCCATATATAATTTTTTTCAATTAAGTCACTGTTTTCATTGAATTAAATTTTTTTTTTATTATTTCGGGTCGGGTCGGGTCGGGTCGGGTTTCTAAGTCATATATTCGGGTCGGGTCGGGTCGGGTGAAACATTAATTTTGTCGGGTCGGGTCGGGTCACGGGTGGAGAACCCTTTCTTCTCGGGTCGGGTCGGGTGGCCCAAAAACCCGACCCGACCCGACCCATTGCCATCCCTACTTAAAACTAGGTCAATCTTACTTGATAAAATAAACTTGGGCAATTTTATGCAAAAATCATCCAAATAATTTAAAAAAAACACCATTATAACACTCTTTTTCTAATATTTATCAAACTAACACCCTTTCTAAAAACAAAGTAGGGAGGCACATTTGGGATAACATGCTTTACACCTGTGGCAAAAAAACTTTGTTGAGGTGGCATGACACGGGAATCACATCTCATAAGGCGAGCCTTTCTCAAATTTTCATAAAGCATATTTAAAACTAATTAAAAAAATAAAACTCTAAAAATCAATAATGTAATTTGATACAAATTAAATCCTTGAGTTTAAGAACCTAATGGAGTTAGTTTATATAGGAATAGTAGTATGCTTAGGTTATATTTACTAACAACGTGAGATAGAATTCTTCTACATTTTCCTTGTAATCTTTATTTTTTTTTTAATTTTACTTAATCTACTAAGTTAGAGTTTTTTATTTTTACTATTGAAATATAAATTAGAGTTCATATATAATTAAAATTGAATATCTTTTATATGTTAAAATATTTAAATATTTTTTTATTATGAGTTAAATTTATTTAAGAAATATTTTGATCACAATATTGTAATTAAAATTAAAATTAATTGAATAAGTTATTCACATAGATGACCAAAGAGTGTCAAAGAACTAGATAAGTTATAGAATCAACTACAAGTAAATTCATTGATTAGTTACAAATATATTTCATATTTTGGACTGCTAAAATGCATGAGCAATGGTTCAACAACATTCCAATTATTCGATGATCAACTATATAACACTCAAAGTAAGATTTCATACTATCGATTTCAACAAAATTGCATGCTTCTTTATTGTACACAAAACAAAGTAACAAACTATATCCTTTTATCGAGGAAGACCAAAATCACTACAAGAAACATAGTTCTTTCGGGCAATGAAAACTTACAAGCTTAGTTGACCATAAATTTCATAAAGTTTGTCACCTACTTCAATTTGCTTCTTGGTCATATGCATAAGAAATAAACCTATAAGTGTGCCAATTTCTTTCAAGTAGCATCAATAGAGTTATTGGGACACACAAAGTGCTCAATTCCATAACCAATTAGTAACTATAACAAACCTAATTTAAATATTCTCATCAAAAATATTTCTTAACAAAATTTAACTTAATAAAAAAATAAATATTTAAATATTTTCACATATAAAAGATATTCAATTTTAAATAATATGAACTTTAATTTATATTTTAATAGTAAAAATAAAAAAAACTCTAACTTAAAAGATTAAGTAAAATTAAAAAAAATTAAATATTACATGAAAAAATGTAGAAGAACTCTATCCCACATTATTAGTAAATATAACTTAAGGACTCCACTATGCCTATATAAACTAACACCATTAGGCTCTTAAACTCAAGAATCTAATTTGTATCAAATTACATTGTTGTTCTTTATAGTTTTATTTTTTAATTTGTTTTAAAGTATATTTTTATAAATATATTGAAAATTTGGGAAAGGTTCATCCCATGGGACGCGTTTCCCATGTATCATTAGGGGTGTATTCGGTTCGGTTCGGTTTGGTTTTTTACCAAAAATTGAACCGAACCGAAATAAACGGATTTTCAATATTTAAATCGAAACCGAATAGTTAAAAAACTGAAAAAACCGAAACTGGTTTTTTCGGTTCGGTTCGATTTTTTTAACGGTTTGGGTTTTTCGGTTCGGTTCGGTTTATCGGTTTTTCAATAAAAAAATCATTTGAAACTATAATATTTTTTACAAAAATTGCCTATTCGGTTCAATATGGAACAAATGGGTTCCATATGGAAAACCCGAACCGAACCGAATCAAAAAAATGAAGCCTTTAAACCGAACCGAAAACCGAACCGTTTAAAGCCAAACCGAACCGAACCGAACCGTTTTACTCGGTTCGTGTCGGTTTTTCGGTTTTCTCAGTTTCGTTGCTCAGCCCTATGTATCATGCCACTTCATCAAAGGTGCACCCCCTTGGATGTACCTTTTTTGCCACATGTGCAAAAGCGTGTTACCCAAATATACCTCCCTACCTCGATTTTTGAAAGGGTGTTAGTTTGGTAATATTGGGAAAGGGTTTGTTAGAATGATGTTTTTTAATTATTTGGTTGATTTTCAAATAAAATTGCCATAAACTTGAACAACCTTATTTAATAAAACAAAATTAAATAGGTACGAGTATTCGATAATAAAATCAAATTAGTTGAGCTTACAAGTCTTATTTCATAATTCAGACTTTATTTGAAATTTAGTTGTCACATGTGCAAAGCGTGTTACCCAAATGTGCCTCCCGATTTTAGAAAGGGTGTTAGTTTGATAATATTGGGAAAATGGGTGTCAGAATGGTGTTTTTTTTAACTATTTGGGTGATTTTCAAATAAATTTGCCATAAACTTGGACAACCTTATTTAATAAAACAAATTTAAATATGTATGAGTATTCGATCGAGTAGAGTGAATAAAATTAAATTTGTTGAGCTGACAAGTCTTATTTTATAATTCAGACCTTATTTGAAATTATTTTAAGTCGATTCTAGTTGTTTAAGTTTGTCTTTAAATTTTATTGTATTTATATAATATTATGATACATATTGATTTCAATTTAAATAAATTTCTCTAATCATATAAGATATGCATATATAGGCAATGTGAATTATTTTATTAAGTCATACAACCTTAAACCTAGTTGTGAGCATCGTAACAAACTAGGTTGAAAATGAACACTACATTTTCCAATAAACCACAAACTCACCCAACAAACCAGCAAGCAAAACACCCGAATGATAACAAAATTTACTCCTCATAAAAACTCCTACACTTACCAAAACTTGTGTTTGTGTCATCACCATACTCAAGGCACCAAACATCAGACTCTTGAAATCGAGCTGGAGATGGAATCCCTTCTTTCAGCACTTCAGCTTCACTCGTATTTGAGACAGAATCAACTTCCTCTCATTCTTTATCATTTCTTCCTTCAACTGAGATTCCAGATTGACCTTTGATCTCTCAACTTATATAATCCAATCTGCCTCCACAAAACTTCCAAAGACATCATAGATGCTTGAAAACATTCTGTTACCAATTTGGATAACAAATCTAGAACCAAATCCAAACAACATCGCCACTATTCAAAACAAAAACCTCGACCAAACCAGAATAAAAACC